ATAAGTAAAAAAATATTAACTTAAAATATTTTAAGTATAAATATTTAGATATATTTAGTTTTTTAAATTAAATATTAATAAAAAAGATTACACTATCTAAAATGTAAAAAGTTGCTTATAAGTAAAAAAATCACTTCAAATTATTTAAAAGTAAAGAAAAAATTTATAATTGTAAAAACTACTTATAGGTAAATATATATATATATATATATTAACTTCAACATTTTTAATTATATATTTAGATATGTGTAATTTTTTTAAATTAAATATTAATAAAAAAATTTACTACAAATAAAAGTTAAAAAAAAAAGAAAAAAAATATGTGCATTGCTCCGTGCATGGAGCTAACATTGCTCCGTGCACAGAGCGATGTTTGCTCCGTGCACGGAGCATTGTTGGCTCCGTGAGCATTGTTAGCTTCGTACACAGAGCAAACAAGCTCCGTGCACGAAGCATTGCTTAAAGGTCGGTCGGTTTTTTTTTTTTTTTTAATTATGTTTTTGTTTTCATTTTCAAACTCATTATGGGATATCAAATGAAGTCAAAATATTACATTCTTGATATTATTTTGAAGTACTCACAACATAATATTACACATCGTCAACGGTGCACGAAACAGTCAATCATAGCAAATGTTATGAGGCATCAAAATAAGCATTTCCAAACTATTATTTCGAGAATTTCGATAACAAGCTAATTTTAAAAATTCATCGATGATTGTACGGTAATCGAATCAATAAATTTTCTATATTATCTTGAAACTCATTTCGAGAACTATATTATAAACACATCGAATGATCTAAATGAATATCAAAAATAATTAAACATATATCAAACGTGTGTTAAAAAATGCGCATAACTCGTTTTTTCTTAAAAAAATCAATTATTTTATTAATGTTTATTATTTTTTCTCGACAATTTTCTCAAAAAATTATTCAAGTTATTTAAAAGTAAAAAAAAAATTATAATTATAAAAGCTACTTTTAAATAAAAAATATTAAATTAAATTTGTAAGTAGATATGTAAATATATTTAATTTTTAAAATATATTTTACACTAACACATTTATCTAAATGAAATTTGCTAAGGAAAAAAAAAAGATCTATCTCTCCAAAACATTGCTCCGTGCACGGAGAACAGTAAACCTCACATTCTCTCTTTTAAGATAAGGATGGATTTTTTTAAAATTAAATATTTATTAATAAAAAATTACTATAAATAAAATTAAAAAAAAATTTTATCACCACTCCGTGCATAAAGTAGAATCACTTCATGTACGAAGTTTTATCACTCTATGTAAAAAAAAAAGTTCTCCTTTTAAAAGTAGTGATTCTCTCAGTGGATGGAAAGATTCTCTCCGTTCACGAAGAGATTTTTTGTTTTTTTAAATATAATTTTTTTAATTTCAATTAATTACATAATATATATGTATTATTTATTTAATTTTTGTAACTTTCTTTTATTTTATTTGTTTAATAAAATAATTTTTATACATTCCTTATGATATAAAGACATTCGTTAAATTTGAATCAAATAATATTTATTTTTTCTTTAAATCGTTTTAGTCTCCTTTTCAAAAAATTGAAATGATTGAAGTTTTTCTATTTGGAATCGTGTTAGGTCTAATTCCTATTCTACCCGGCTGCCCTGGACTCTATTCCATCCGGGCCTGAAAGGCGAAAGCCCCTGGTTTAATTTAAAAACTTTATAATAGTTTTTTTTTTATTTTTATCTGCAATTTTTTAAAAATAATTTTTATATTTAATTTCGTTTATTTATTATATAATATATGGCATTGCCTTTAATCAAAAGAAGTAGTTTGTGAAAATGAAGAAATATTATAATAGAAGTGACATTACAATGAAATGTGTGAAAATGGTGAAATGACGTGTAAAAATAATGCTACAGCATCAATGAATAGAATAATTTACTGTTGTCAAATCGGTTTCAAACTAGTTTCGTGTGAAAACCTATATGACAAAAATGAACAGTAAACCTTACACTTTCTCTTTTAAGATAAGGAGGGATTAATTGGTTATATTTATTATTTCGCTGTTCTATGGCGGACTCACTTGAATTCCATGGTTGGGACCATCCCAAGACCATTTCATTGAAGAGTGACCAGCCTACCTGATTTTTTATTTTTGTTTTCTCCCGTCTAGTAAAGCTTATTTTGATGATATACATAAAGAGAGACACTCCCATGTTGGTTGGAAAGCATTCTTTTGTTTGCAAAATAACTAATTTGCATTGGTTGAACTCATGTCTATTAGTTGAGTAGCCATTAATTATCAATTAAGCTAGTCATTTGTTAAACTTACGCCTGTTGATTGAGAGTGTGAAAGTATTTGTTACATTGGTTGGTACATTTTATTTATATGATAAATGTTTGAGTTAATTTTTCATTTAAGTTCAGAATAAATAATTAATTTAATGTTGTTTATCATGCTAACTTGTACTTAAAAATATTTTAATTTTCATCTTAGTTGAGTTGAAATTAAATTTGTGAAATTATTATAGATGCCCGTAATCAAATAAATAAACTGATTTTTAAAAATTAAATTAACATGCAAACACTAACAGGGTCGTCTTTCACGACGAGCAACTGCACGCTATTAAAAGTAAAAATGCACATTTACGATGTATAGGCGCACGTCCTTAAAGGTAAAAAACTCTCACGTCGTAAAAAATCGTCTAACTAATAATGACGTACATTGCACGCCGACACTTTTTATGACATTGTTACCAAGGTCTTTTTACTTGTAGTGGTATGAATTACTTTCTTCTCTCTCTCACCAAAAGTTCTTTCCAATTACCAGTAACCCTAACTTATCTAAATGAAAACGTGCATGAACTCGCAAAGACGTGACAAATGCTGAAGAACCCTAAATTAAACAAATCTCAAATTCACACACCTCACGATTTGAGGGTATAAATTCGAAAACATGCACCAAATCACACCCATGTGAAGAAGCGTCGGTCCAAATCGTACAAGGATGAAAACAGTCGAATGAAGAAGTTGTAGTCATTGATTAAAATTCCCACGGGTTTTCTTTCACTTCCATTGAGATAGTACAGTAAGAAAAAGCGAGAGCATGGCTCTAGGAAAATTTTATGATTTTACGACGGTGACAGAATGAAAGGAAAGGGAACTAATTTGTGAAGGTTTTCTGAATTTTGCGAGAGGATGAAGAAGAGTAGGGTTTGCTGAGAAAAAACCAGTTGAAGAGTTCAATTGTAACACGCTTCTTTTACGATATTTTAGTATATAGTGTCAAACTAGTTCCAAATAAGCCAAATGTGAACACAGAGACCCCAGGATTAACAGTAAAACTGGATCCATTCTTTTAAAGTAACTAGTTTCTTGCTCGTGCAATGCACGAGTAGAGTTATTTTTAAGGTAACGTTAGCTTTCAATGATGTAAGTAAAAAAATGAAATTAATTTCACGAGGTCAATATGTATAAATTATTTCACACTTCAATATATAGATATGAAGCATTGAAAGAGAGTGACGAAATGATAAGTAATAGTAAAATCTTCTCACTCAACATAAATAATAATAATAATCAATGGATCTAACAAACTCAAAAATAGATAGATTAAAAAGCCACCGTATGTTAGGTTAGGAATGTGTCAACTAATGAGCATCTCCTTCAAGCATAAAAATGAAACTTACCAGAAAAACAACCTTCAGTAGACAATTTTGGCCAAAGCATCTCTGTTGCCAGCTGCAGTTTTTGGGTCTAAATATTTGGCGATGGTTTCATCACGAGTAATAATTACACGTTTACAGAGGGCATCCTCTAAAGCCTTCATGTAACACCTACGAAATACTGAACTTTTAAAACTGCATCTTCTTAATCTTAGCATGTAGGAAGATAAAAATTTAGCAACTACTCTCGTTGGGTTAAGCGTAGCTTTATCTCCAACTCCCAAGACAATAAATCTAATTTTTGCAAGACTCCACTCTGTCCACCCTCTACAGCCCTATCATTAAATATTTGCCACAACCGTTGATCCAGTTGGTTCAAGTACTTCAAATAAATCAACCTAATGGATGGAATGACCCCAAAAAGCAACTTACGTTCCTTTGTGACAAAGCCCCATATATTTTTCCTCGAGACAGCATTAGATCTGCCTATTTTCCTCACTACCCAAAAAAGTTTAAACAAGTCCACCACTGTTCCATCACCACACAATGCCGGAATAGGCCTAATGCATTTGCTTGCAAACTTTTCTCATAAAAAATCTGCAAATGCTTCATCAGACAAGACCTTTAGCTTCTCTTTATTAGTATGAAAAGAGCATTCCTCAATCGGAAAGTCGAGTTTCCAAGAAGTCTCAATATCTTCTTCAACACTTTCAACTTCATGCAAACTTAAATCATCTCTTAAATTGGACCGTCCCTCTGTTGAATTCGATTATTCTTCCCGCTTCTCTATAATAACTTCTCAACCGTTTCTCCATGAAGGCCAATATCCATCCCGCATAGAACATACAATTATGCACATTTTGATACATCCATTTCAGAATCACACGCATGATATCATAAAGTTTAAATTTCCTAACATTCAACTGCTCTCTACATAATTCTTGAGTGTAAACTTGGACTTTTTTAAGAAATCACAAAAAACTTAAAATTTATTCATCCTTACCTCCAAGAAAGAGGCTCTCATGCGAGTTATTAGAGATGGGCTGGAAAAAGTGTTGGGGTAAAACCGGAGTCCACCATGGGCATTGGGTCGCCTGCTGTGGAGCAGAGTAAATGTGCATTCATCCATTATTTCATCCTATATTGTCCCTTGAATGTAGAAAATCCAAAGCTTCCTCTATTTCCGACTTACAACTAAAATTTCAACTATAAGTAAAACAATAATGTAATAACTAAAAAATTTACTTATATGTGAAAAAATCTTATGAGACAAAAGTTCCATTGTGTACTAAAAATTGCTTCTAAGTGAAAATACTAATAATAATTAGAAATTTCTTCTACGAACTTAGTTGAAGGGCCTAAATCCCTTTTGCATCCATTCAGCAAATTCTTCAGGAGGTTGACATTTTGATTGCTAGTTTAAAAAAAAATAACCAACAATATCAACCAGATGGCCAGAGTCGACAATATCAACCAGACGGCCACAGTCTGCAGATTAGTTGAAAGGATTAGTCCTATATAAGATTGAGATATGGAAAATGTTGACCGAAACAAGATTTCTACATAATTTAGCTTCTCGGCAATGAAAAATTATTGCCTCCATGAATATTAGTCATGCAATTCTAAATGGCACGCTTACCATTTTGCTTTGGCACAATGTGGGAACTTCACATGTAGCCCGTTGGTAAATGAGATACTGACTCATAGTATGTACTCAAGTATGCAGTAGGATCAAACTTCATCTTCTTTTTCCTGAAGTCATTAATGTATCCTCTTATGCCCATCATATTAGTAAATCCACAAGAATGTATGAAATCTGTACAAAGCAAGAAATATTAGGGAACATAATCCTTTTTTTTCAAGGATTCCAGAAAATTTCTTCACACCCAAGAAAATAAATTACAAAAGGTGGACCTTATTTATTGCTAATTTTTTCATTACACGTTTAAAACAAAACTTAAACATAACATAAAATCTCAATTACAATAAAGTGATAATTCATTCACCTAAAGAACAAGATATATACTAAATAAAGAAAGTAAAAGTGCTCAAACATAATACAAAACCCAAATTATAGAAATAGATAAAAGACCTTTAAATTGGAATTCATTCACTGGTCAAGCTCGAAATTTTGATCTTGGAAAGCTGAAGAATCTTTATCAAAATCACGTGCATAACAACCATCTTTGCATAGAGCTTTCCACACACAATCAGACCTGCACAACTCCCTCCAAAACATGGACAAACTCCAAATGAAGACAAATAAAAAATCTGACAAAAGATTAAAAAAATAAATAATAATTTCAGACCCACATTCAAAAAAGATTTATAAAACCCAAATTAGAAACAAGGTCCAAACAAAAGAAAAATATTCTTTCTATAATGGGTTACTTCGATTGTGTGAGTTTCTGCCAAACTCGTTTGCAAACAGTCGCGTTTGAGCTCCTCATCTATCGCTCTTCGTCGTTGGCTTCATCATCTTCAGTGGTATAATCATAGTTAATTCATTATTCGAAACATGATAAATTTTCACATCAGCAAATTCTCAAACATAAGTTACATAACACAAAGAAAAGTCATACCATCGGTAGAGGTTGGAGGACTTTTTACTTCCTGAAAAAAGCACAGAAAAAGATTTATCAAAAATAATTATGAAACGTTCGAAAGCTCTTAATAATAAGTATTAACTGGATTCTGCCGTGAAGAAGGAGAATGTGATTTGTTCAGCAGCATTCTACCAAAAGAAGAAAGCCCTTCACTCAATTTTGGCACCTAAGCTCACACACCTCAACAGTCCGACTTCTTCTTCATCCAATAGATTTCAATTCAACCTCCGAAAATAATCCATTCAAATCCCTACTAATAATTATGCACACACATGCAAAAATTAATTTTTGATAATTTAAAAATTAAAACTAAAAGTACTGGGTTTTGAGTGGTAAATATATTCATTTTGCATTCACACAAGTTTGAACAAACAGAATAGAGAAAATTGAACGGCTAACAATACAAAAAGAAGATCGTCAACCAACAATGCAGAAGAAGAGCAAAAGGGTATTCTGAAAATTCGAATTTCTTAGATAGAGACATGACTAATTTGCAAATCTGTGGAAGAGAGGGAAGAAGATTAGAAGTCAACATCTAGGGTTTCTTCGTTCGAGAATGGACGAGAAGAAAGTAGTGGATGGATAGAATGAGCCTGTTTGAGTAATTTTGAGAATTGATTTTTTGATCGTTAAAAGAAAAGTGGGGTTCACATGAGAGAAAAAGTAAAATATGACGACTGAAATAGTGAAATAACGGTCAAAAAATCAATTTTTTTAGTGAAAAAAATCGCTCCCAATCAGACCCATTACTGGATGAACAGTAAACAAATGATAGATTCTTTCAAGGAAAAGGAATATAAATAAAATAAGAAAGAGAGTAGGGATTTACCGAAAATATAAGGATAAAATGGGAAAATCGAAAGTATTTCATAAATGAATTAAATAGTAAAGGGAAATAGGATTACAGTTGTGCTACTTGTCTGTACAAGTGCACACACATGGCGTGGACCTCCCCACAAGAGATCCACATGTGGGGTCTATCTCCATGTGAGAGACCCTGTACAGGCCCTATATAAAGGGGTCATCTTGTGCAAAGGGGCCTGTGAACGGAGTTTTATTTATAGGATTATAGTTTTCTTTAGCTGACAGCTCTAATGCAAAACAAATGGGCCTGTGCGGGGAGTTTTTAGGATTATAGTTTTCTTTAACCGACAGCTCTAATGCAACTCATTTGTTTTATTCAATAATTAATAAAGATTCACAGAGTTAGATCACTCAAAAGTATACTTAAAATAGGAGAATTTTTTTTTTCTATAGCAATATATTCTTCTGTGAGAATATGGTTCTCTTAACTCTATTAGACTTAAGTGTTATTTGTGTAATTCACATGGATTGTGCTTGTCTAGTTTTGTTATGGACTATTGGATGGGATCGACGGTCGGGATTTAATCTATTTGAGATATCTTTTTGTTGCCTTGTCTTGGGAGAGATGTTTTGACTTGATGGTTGACACAAAAAGGCTCTCCCCACGTTTTTGACAGAGAGGTCGTTTCTTCCCTTCTTAAGTCGACTCTCTCTCTCTATTTTTGCTTCCTTGGCTTGGTTGAAGGTAGAGGGTCCGGTGGCTGCTTGGTAGAAGGTTGAGGTTCTTTGCCGGTTTCTCTCTCTCTCTCTTTGTGGAAGGTGATTTGCATGACATGGAGCTGTTCCTGAGCCTAAATCAGCCATAAGAGCAAGGAGAAGTTGCTGTCCAGATTCGGTCGAGATCGGGTTGTATTGTTCCATTTTATTTTCTTTGATTTAGCTTTGAAATCCTTTATTGATTGATGATTATTGTTTGATTGAACTCCAAGGATCCCAACAAACTGGTATCAGAGTAAGGAGGAGTGAAATCTGTCCAAAAATCGATCAAAAACTTCAACGAAATCGCGATTCCCATTTTTTGGCCGAATCTGAAACTTCAAATTCCGGCCAAACTACTGACCTTTTGGCGAAACTGACCTTGGACCCATAACCAGCAGACCAAGGCACTCCCTGTGGTGGGACGCGTGACTGGACCGGCGACCGGCAACGCGTGAACTCCGACGACGGCGCGTGGCTGGACATTCCGACGAGTTTTTTTCGGGCAGTTTACTTTTTTCGATGTCCTGAACGCACTGATATCGTTTGTTTTCTGTTTCAGGTTTTACAGAAAAAGTTGGATGATTTTGCCCCTGGCTTGACGTCTACAGCAATTCGGTTCAGAAACTTGGTGGTATATATACTGTTTTTCAACAGTAGTTTGGTAAGATTATTCCAAACTCTCCGTTAGGTTAGATTTGGTATCCTTACCGATTTATGCATGATTATTGCTTGGTTGCCTATTTGTGAATTCCGTTGATTGAATTCTTGTGATTAATTTGTAACCTGGAAGCATATTTACTTGCATTATATATCTCTGTTTCGTGAATGGATTATGTGATTGTTGTGCTTCATTTCTAAAATTGTTTTTAGACTCGGCATTCATATTTTTATATTGATCATCTGGAAAAGAATTTTTCAAAATCTTTTCTGTTTTGTCCACGAGTACAGGCCACTCTTTTACAGAATCTGTAATGGGTTCGAGGGTCGAATTATCGCAATTCGATGGAAAGGGGGATTACTCGATATGGAAACAAAAAATGAGGGCCATTTTGGTCCAACAGAGAGTTGCTAAAGCTCTCGATGATCCCGCTACATTTTCTGATGAGTTAAAAGCTAAACCAACTGAAATTGAAGACATGAATGAAATTGCTTACAGTTCTATAATTTTGTATCTATCTGACAACATTGTGAGACAAGTTGATAGTGCTAAAACTGCTAGAACTTTGTGGATTGCTTGAGATGCCTTGTTCTTGACTAAAACTTTACCTAACAAAATATACCTGTTGGAAAAGTTGTTTAGTTTTAAGATAGACCCGAGGAAGGATGTCGAGGGGAATTTGAGTGACTTTAGCATAATTGTTAAGAGTCTAGCTCATAATGATAAAAAATTTTGACGATGAGGATTTAGCTGTCATATTGCTAAACTCTTCACCTGAATCTTACAGAGAAATGAAAAATGCCATAAAATATGGTAGGGACACTCTCACTCAAGCTATTGTTTTCGATGCTTTAAAATCAAGAGAACTTGAATTAAAAAGAGACAACAGAACTCATTCCCGAAAAGAGAGTCCATTTGTTAGGGGAAGACCTGAAAAGAAAGAATTTAACTTCCATAACAAGAAGGGGAGAGGAAAATCTAAAATGAGATCTAAATCTAAAGATAAAAGCGGTAAGAAATGTTATCACTATGAAAAGTTAGGATATTTCAAGAAAGACTGCTTCGACTGGAAAAGGAAACAAAAAGACCCGAACAATTCTGATGTTGATAATGCTGCTATTGTTTCTGAAATTAATAGTTTGCATGTCATGAATTTGTCTGAGGAAGAATTTGACAAAAATTGGATTCTAGACACAGGGTGCACTTTCCATATGTGCCCTGATAGGTCTTGGTTCTATAACTATAGAGAGACTGAACCTAGGAACGTCTACATGGGAGACAATAATTCTCAAAATGTAGTTGGAGTTGGTGACATAGCCATCAGAATGTACGATGGGGCCGTCACGCAACTAAAAAATGTTAGATATGTCCCAAATTTAAAAAGGAACCTCATTTCCTTAGGTTCTCTTGAAGATAAGGGATATGCCTTCAAGTCTGGTAACAAGATTTTGAAAATTATGAAGGGTTCTCTCATAGTTATGAAAGGGCCTAAGAGGAATGGTCTGTACTATCTTAAGGGTAGAACTGAAATACCAGTTGATTATAGCCTTCTTCCTGTGAGTAAAGACAAAACTGAACTTTGGCATAACAGAATGGGTTACATTGGGTTCAAAGGGCTAAAATCTTTAAGTAATCAGAAATTACTTGGAAAAGATGACATCGAAATTATGGAATTCTGTGAAACTTGTGTCTTGGGTAAGTCCCATAAGGTGAGCTTTGAAGCTAGCTCTCATAGGACCAGCAGGCCATTAGACTATGTCCATGCTGATCTATGGGGCCCGGAGAAGCACTCCACATTTGGTGGAAGCAAGTACTTCTTGTCCTTAGTGGATGATTACTCAAGAAAAGTTTGGATTTATCCTTTGAAGGCTAAGTCGGAAACTTTTTGAAAATTCAGAGTTTGTTTAAAGTCTGTTGAGAATCAGTTAGACAAGAAACTTAAAACATTAAGAACTGATAATGGGCTTGAATTATGTAATAACGAATTTGACAACTTCTGTAAGCAGAAAGGTATAACAAGATACAGAACTGTTAAATACACACCTGAACAAAATGGGGTCACTGAAAGAATGAACAGGACCATAATGAACAAAGTTAGGTGTATGTTGATTAGCTCTGGCCTTGCGAAAGGTTTTTGGGCCGAAGTTGCAAGTACTGCAGCTTATCTGATTAATAGGTCTCCGTCCACTAGTATAAGGTTTAAAACCCCACAGGAGTTGTGGATGGGAGAGCCTCCAAATCTAGAACACTTGAGGGTGTTTGGATGTGCTACATATGCACACCAATCTGAAGGGAAACTTGAGCCGAGAGCTGTCAAGTGTGTGATGTTAGGGTATCCCGAGGGTGTGAAGGGCTATAGGTTATGGGTTTTAGGGGTCCAAGGCATTAAGATTATTAACAACAGGGATGTAGTCTTTAATGAATTTGAGATGCCATGTCTAAAACAGAAAATCGAAAAAACTAACAAATCTGAAACTGAGAAGAGTATTCAGACTGAGGTGAAGCTGACTAGGCTAAATTCACCTACACCTGGGAATGACGAAAATGACCCTATACATCATGAAAATGAAAATGAAAATGAAATTGAAATTGAAACTGAACCCGAAGAGGTGACTGAACTTCAAGATAACATTGAACCAGTTGAAGTTGAACATTTTAATGATCAGCTACCTAATCAAGATTATCAGCTTACTAGGGATCGGGGGAGGAGGCAGATCGGGCCAAATCCTAGATATGAATCCCTAAACTTGACTGATTTTGCTTTGGTTTCAGGTGAATCCCTTGAACAGATAGAACCTGCTAGTTATGAAGAAGCTGTTAATGGAAAATGTTCTAAAAATTGGCTAAAAGCTATGCAGGAAGAAATGAAATCTTTAATGGAGAATAAAACTTGGAAGTTAGTTAAGTAACCTAAGGATCATAGGATAGTTCAATGTAAGTGGATTTACAAATTGAAAGAAGGAAATAATTCTAGTGATCCCCCTAGGTATAAGGCCAGATTAGTGGCGAAAGGGTTCACTCAAAGGAGGGGGTTGATCACAATGAGATATTCTCTCCTGTGATAAAGTACAAAACAATCAGACTGGTTTTTGCATTGGTTGTTCAGTTCAACTGGGAACTGGAACAACTAGATGTCAAGACTGCTTTCCTACATCGAAAATTGGAAGAGGATATTTACATGAGTCAACCTCAAGGTTTTGAGATGAAAGGTAAAATAAACTGTGTGTGCAATTAGAAAGATCTCTGCATGGGCTTAAACAAAGTCCTAGACAGTGGTACATAAGGCTCGATACCTATGTACTGAAGATAGGTTTTAAAAGGAGTGAATATGATGCGTGCCTGTACTATAATGATAGTAAAGAGGGCTGTGAGGTCTACTTGTTGCTGTATGTAGATGACGTGCTTCTAGCAAGTTCAAGTAAGATTGAAATCACTAAGATGAAGAACCTTTTAAAATCAGAATTCGATATGAAAGATTTTGGGAGTGCTAAGAAGATTTTGGGGATAGTTATAAAGAGAGATAGGGCTGAAAATAGACTAGTCATTTCCCAAGAAGCCTATCTAAACAAAGTCATAACTAAATTTGGTATGAATGGATCAAAATCTGTGAACGTTCCCTTAGCAGCTCACATGAATCTTTCTAGTGCTCATTCTCCAAAAACTGAGGAGGAATTTAGAGAAATGAGGAACATACCCTACTCTAATGCTATAGGTTCCGTTATGTTCTCTATGATAACAACCAGGTCTGACTTAGCCTATGCTATAAGTTTTTTGAGCAGGTTTATGTCCAACCCTGGAAAGCCCCATTGGGCAGGTTTGAAATGGTTGTTAAAGTACATTATTGGTACATTAAATTTGGGTCTAGTGTATGAAAAAAGATCTGAAAAACTTACTCTAAAGGGGTATGTAGATTCTGATTTTGCTGGTGACAAGGATAGCAGAAAGTCTACCATAGCTTACTTTTTTACACTTAGTGATAATTGTATAACATGGAAGTCACAGCTGTAGCCTTTAGTTACTTTGTCAAGTATTGAGGCAGAGTATGTTGCCATAACAAAGGCGGTTAAGGAATGTACTTGGTTAAAAGGAATTTTAAAGGAATTGAACTTCATGCATGATACACCTGTTATGTTTACTGATAGTCAAAGTGCTTTATCGCTTTGTAGGAATCCTGTTTATCATGAAAGAACTAAACATATTGAGGTGAAGTATCATTTTATTCGTGAGAAACTGTCTCAAGGTGAAGTTAATCTTGTTAAAATTCACACTGAAAGGAATCCCTTTGTGTGGGAACAAAAATTCTACCTACAGGTAAATTTAAATTGTGCTTATCTTTATTACATATTGACACTGGTTAATTTTTCTTGCAGATAGTGGGCGATGATGATGAACAGTTCTTCTATGTGCAAATTCGCAACCAAGAGAGAGTGTTATGAGAACCAAGGTGAAGAATGTGAGAATATGGTTCTCTTAACTCTATTAGACTAAAGTGCTATTTGTGTAATTCACATGAATTGTGCTTGTCTAGTTTTGTTATGGACCTTTGGATGGGATCGACGGTCGGGATTTAATCTATTTGAGATATCTTTTTGTTGCTTTGTCTTGGGGGAGATGTTTTGACTTGATGACTTGATGGTTGACACAAAAAGACTCCCCCCATGTTTTTGGCAGAGAGGTCGTTTCTTCCCTTCTTAAGTCGACTCTCTCTCTCTATTTTTGCTTCCTTGGCTTGGTTGAAGGTAGTGGGTCCGGTGGCTACTTGGTAGAAGGTTGAGGTTCTTTGCCAATTTCTCTCTCTCTCTCTATCTGTGAAAGGTGATTTGCATGACATGGAGCTGTTCCTGAGCCTAAATCAGCCATAAGAGCAAGGAGAAGTTGCTGTCCAGATTCGGCCGAGATCGGGTTGTAATGTTCCATTTTATTTTCTTTCATTTAGGCTTGAAATCCTTTATTGATTGATGATTATTGTTTGATTGAACTCCAAAGATCCCAACATCTTCAAACTACCACAAACTCTCAACGAGATGTATTTCACTAATGCTTTTATTCCTCTCTCGAGAATAAATAAACAACCCAATGCGCACAACCAAATATCCATTAGAAAACGAAAATTAATATAAAAGGTAACAAGATTCATATATCATACTCCAAGATTAAGTGATTAATTACAAGTAAGAAAAAAAATGAAAAGAAAAGAAAAGAAAAGGAAGAAATGGATCAAAAATCAAATCCACCATCGAAACCAGAATCTCCAACATCAGAAATCATATCGCCGACCAAAAATCCACCTAATAATCCAGCTCCTACTCCTAAACCGAAATTGTTCTTCTTTGGTGGCCTTTGCACAGCTGGATATCCGTACCCGGACTGGGGTGGATATCCATATCCTGGCGGTGGTGGTGGAGGTGGGTACGCGCCATAAGACAATGGAGGTGGGTACCCGCCATACCCCGCTGGCGGCGGCGGTGGAGGATATCCTCCAGGTGATGGTGGTGGTGGGTACAGCCCTGTTCCATGGTCAACTGGATAAGGAGGATATACTCCTCCTGGAGATGGACGTGGATACGCTAAGCTGGGCCCCACTGCCGGATATGCGGTAACAGGTTCCTCATCAAGTTTAGGCGGGCCAGGAACTGGTGGTGGCGGCGCATCCTTATCGACAAACTGGTAAGAAAAGGTGATTTGACCTTTAGGTTGGCCGTTAGGTTTGCTCACTTGATAACTCACCAATCGCTGCTGGTTTCCATAGTTACCGACAACGCCAATGGTCGGAGATTCGAGAAGCTGTTTGATGGGAACATGGACTTCACCAATATCTTTATCGCCTAACTTACGCTCACAAACAAGCTTGAAATCAAGAGTTAGGAGGTTCTGCCGGAGCGCCACCTCATCCACCGTGAACTTCATAGGAAAAATCCATGTGGGGCTGGTGTCGCCGTCTCTATCCACCGGCGTCTTCGTAGTCTGCTTCGATTTTTTGTCCCCGCCGGAAATTGAAACCACCGCGTACACCGCCATCTTCGTGATGAGATTGACTCTATTGAGATCTTTACCGGACATAGAAATAATTTCCAACGCCCGATGATCCATAACGATGAGAGAAAATCCAAGAAATTGAAGAGGCTTCCCTGTTTATGGTTTTCTAGAATTGAAGAACTTAACTTGAGAGAGAGAGAGAGAGAGAAATGGCCAATGATGAATCAAAGTATACGCAGAGAATAAACTATTTATGTTAGTGTTAAACACGTTACGCCATTACCTGGTGCCTTCGTTTATCAAAGGTAAGAAGTAACTATGGTTGACTTGAAGAATGCCTTGAGGTTTTGGTTAATATGCACATAGAACTCCAACGTGTCAGCTATGTATATTGAAAACCTATTCTTCAAAACAAAATGACAAGCTAATTAGGGTTGTGCTGCACTATCAGGGGAGTTTTAGAGGGTGTTTGGTAGAATTTTTTATGTGAAAATACATTTTTGAATAGTAAGTTGATGGGAAATGTGTGGTTGAAAAATAAGAAAAAGTTTTTGATTTACGTGTAATATTATTTTAATAAAGAATGTGTGGTTGAAAAGAAGAGAGAGAAAAATACATTTTGATAAAAATAGGTGCCAAACATGGCGTTATTGAACCTCCACAGGCTACACATATACGGGGTGGGTATTTGTGGATTATTTTTTTAATGAGGCACGTCATGTGTGAGACCTGTGAATAGAGCCTGTACACCAAGCTTAATTCTAATTTTTAACACTTAGAATTGAAGTCCACAAATTTACACCCAATTCATACAGGAACCAGGGTTTGTGATCAAAGATTAAAGAAACTATTAGGCTTTGAAAGGAAAAATAAAAGTTAGGTTTCTCAATAGTCGAATTTGACTGGAATGTGAGGTTTCTTAAATGTTAATAAATTGATTTCAATAATGGTTTTTTCCTAGTGCAATTTTCCTTGCACGATTTAGCTTAGTTGGCTTCAGATGTTGTTGCATAATTGGCCAAACAAGATTTACTTGTAACATAGGGCAGCTGCGTTAAGTTGGTATTAGACAAATAAAATTTAAAATTGTGTGACATATCGAAAAAAAGTTAAATAATTAACCCGTTTTTCCACTGTTTACGAGTCATGTTTTCACGTGATTAGACAGTGGCAAAGGCGTGCTTTAACAGGCGTTTTTGATTTTCTTCAACAATGGAGCAGTCTTTGGTATCTTCTAGAATCTGTTGAGAACATTCAGAGTCATATTTTGACCAAATTTGGTTCACAAAATACTAGGAACTTGCAATGCAAATGTAACTTCTTAGAGAAGTCCGTTTGATTGCACAGATGGAATTGAATTGTCTAAAAAAAGAATTTTTTGGCAGAGAGGTCGTTTCTTCCCTTCTTAAGTCGACTCTCTCTCTCTATTTTTGCTTCCTTGGCTTGGTTGAAGGTAGTGGGTCCGGTGGCTACTTGGTAGAAGGTTGAGGTTCTTTGCCAATTTCTCTCTCTCTCTCTATCTGTGAAAGGTGATTTGCATGACATGGAGCTGTTCCTGAGCCTAAATCAGCCATAAGAGCAAGGAGAAGTTGCTGTCCAGATTCGGCCGAGATCGGGTTGTAATGTTCCATTTTATTTTCTTTCATTTAGGCTTGAAATCCTTTATTGATTGATGATTATTGTTTGATTGAACTCCAAAGATCCCAACATCTTCAAACTACCACAAACTCTCAACGAGATGTATTTCACTAATGCTTTTATTCCTCTCTCGAGAATAAATAAACAACCCAATGCGCACAACCAAATATCCATTAGAAAACGAAAATTAATATAAAAGGTAACAAGATTCATATATCATACTCCAAGATTAAGTGATTAATTACAAGTAAGAAAAAAAATGAAAAGAAAAGAAAAGAAAAGGAAGAAATGGATCAAAAATCAAATCCACCATCGAAACCAGAATCTCCAACATCAGAAATCATATCGCCGACCAAAAATCCACCTAATAATCCAGCTCCTACTCCTAAACCGAAATTGTTCTTCTTTGGTGGCCTTTGCACAGCTGGATATCCGTACCCGGACTGGGGTGGATATCCATATCCTGGCGGTGGTGGTGGAGGTGGGTACGCGCCATAAGACAATGGAGGTGGGTACCCGCCATACCCCGCTGGCGGCGGCGGTGGAGGATATCCTCCAGGTGATGGTGGTGGTGGGTACAGCCCTGTTCCATGGTCAACTGGATAAGGAGGATATACTCCTCCTGGAGATGGAGGTGGATACGCTAAGCTGGGCCCCACTGCCGGATATGCGGTAACAGGTTCCTCATCAAGTTTAGGCGGGCCAGGAACTGGTGGTGGCGGCGCATCCTTATCGACAAACTGGTAAGAAAAGGTGATTTGACCTTTAGGTTGGCCGTTAGGTTTGCTCACTTGATAACTCACCAATCGCTGCTGGTTTCCATAGTTACCGACAACGCCAATGGTCGGAGATTCGAGAAGCTGTTTGATGGGAACATGGACTTCACCAATATCTTTATCGCCTAACTTACGCTCACAAACAAGCTTGAAATCAAGAGTTAGGAGGTTCTGCCGGAGCGCCACCTCATCCACCGTGAACTTCATAGGAAAAATCCATGTGGGGCTGGTGTCGCCGTCTCTATCCACCGGCGTCTTCGTAGTCTGCTTCGATTTTTTGTCCCCGCCGGAAATTGAAACCACCGCGTACACCGCCATCTTCGTGATGAGATTGACTCTATTGAGATCTTTACCGGACATAGAAATAATTTCCAACGCCCGATGATCCATAACGATGAGAGAAAATCCAAGAAATTGAAGAGGCTTCCCTGTTTATGGTTTTCTAGAATTGAAGAACTTAACTTGAGAGAGAGAGAGAGAGAGAAATGGCCAATGATGAATCAAAGTATACGCAGAGAATAAACTATTTATGTTAGTGTTAAACACGTTACGCCATTACCTGGTGCCTTCGTTTATCAAAGGTAAGAAGTAACTATGGTTGACTTGAAGAATGCCTTGAGGTTTTGGTTAATATGCACATAGAACTCCAACGTGTCAGCTATGTATATTGAAAACCTATTCTTCAAAACAAAATGACAAGCTAATTAGGGTTGTGCTGCACTATCAGGGGAGTTTTAGAGGGTGTTTGGTAGAATTTTTTATGTGAAAATACATTTTTGAATAGTAAGTTGATGGGAAATGTGTGGTTGAAAAATAAGAAAAAGTTTTTGATTTACGTGTAATATTATTTTAATAAAGAATGTGTGGTTGAAAAGAAGAGAGAGAAAAATACATTTTGATAAAAATAGGTGCCAAACATGGCGTTATTGAACCTCCACAGGCTACACATATACGGGGTGGGTATTTGTGGATTATTTTTTTAATGAGGCACGTCATGTGTGAGACCTGTGAATAGAGCCTGTACACCAAGCTTAATTCTAATTTTTAACACTTAGAATTGAAGTCCACAAATTTACACCCAATTCATACAGGAACCANTTTTAAGTTTTAACGCAAGAACTACGTTCACTTCATTGCTGCAATTTTAATAAAATCTCTTACCATCCTGACAGTTTACCTTTTACCTAAACTATTTTAACTTAAAGCAACGGACGATGAGTTCCGAGTTGGCCCCCGTTTTCTAGAAATAAAAATGGGTGGAATAGTGTGTTTTTGAAAAATGAGTGATTGAAAAAAGATGGAAAAGTTTTCGATTTACGTGTAATATCATTTTATGAAAAATTGTGCAGTTGAAAATGGAAGAGAGAAAAATGAAATGGAATGAAATATAAATTCATGGGGGTAAAAAAGGAAAGCAGCAAGTAATTATAGGAATATCAGAAATCTTAAAAGCTAAGTTTACGATGCACAAAAAATACCATTAGAAATCAAACCTATTTAAGTATACATGTATCCATTGATCTATTGCTTCATCGGACAAAAATCAATCAAAGTGTCCCCAGTAATAACACTAATTTCTTCAGAATGATTAAGCCTCATCCCCAAGAAACTTATGGTCGACTACATGTATTGCAAGCAAAGCACATATTCAAGCAGCAGTAGCCACAGATTACTTTATCACATCAGAACATATTAAAATTTTAGCAGCGTGAAAGAACCAAGAAAGACAATTTAACTTCGTTTTTTGTTTGAACTTCGAATCAACTGCAATAACTATAAGCATCCACTAAACTATTCCTCCGTCTCAATGTAGCAGTATTCTTCCTGAACATTCCTTACATTGCTATTTACCAGATAAAAGTATGCTTTCTCACCTTTGGATAGTTTAGTCTTCGGAGGACTATTCGAACTTTGACAATTACACTGTTAACTCTAGCATTTCATGTGCTGAGGCTAGCAAGATAACCAATATGATGCGCTCACCCATGCGAATCTCAGTTCCCACAGCCGAGTTAATTTTCCCAACTTATGGCATGCTTGATAGAGAGGATTGAATAATGCTAGACAGTAAATTAAATTTTTCATCATACTGTTCCGTACTGCTCCCTCAATTTCCCTATAGAAGAACCTGATTTTTGCAATCACCACCGTATTTGACAATTGCACTGTCAACTCTAGCATTTCATGTGCTGAGGCTAGCAAGATAACCAATATGATGCGCTCACCCATGCGAATCTCAGTTCCCACAGCCGAGTTAATTTTCCCAACTTATGGCATGCTTGATAGAGAGGATTGAATATTGCTAGACCGTAAATTAAATTTTTCATCATACTGTTCCGTACTGCTCCCTCAATTTCCCTATAGAAGAACCTGATTTTTGCAATCACCACCGTTAGACATAACATTTTCAGCTTCTTCATCTTGAAAGCCAAAGCACTGTTGGGAAACTCATTAAGTGCCATCACACGACAGGCAAATCTCGAAGGTCAGATGCCCTGTTCTCTTAACTACTGGTATTTTTACTTTTCCGCCTTCGTTTTACAGTTAAAAGGCCATTAGCCAGAGCTTCAAGTGCTCGGGTTGTTGGAGGCCGGTTCCTAGTGCTATGCCTTGGCATATTCATGCTAGGCTGCTGGTCATAACTAGCCTCAATAGCAGAGGGATTTTGTGATTCTGTTGCTAAGAAACCATTCTCCATGTCCATGGGAACTTGAGGAAAATTAAGGTCAATCAATGTCTGAGATTGAGGGTTCTCTAGAGGGGCTTCTGCTGCATCAATATTGGCATTGGGAGTACACTCAACGCTACCAATGGGACTACCTTTTGGGGAACTGGTGGATGACAACTTATCTTGAGAAGAACCAACTTCAGTAGATTCGTACTTGGAAAATTCAGGAATGCCTGAG